CGAGAGCTCAGCACCGACCGCCTTGCACACCGCTGCTCCTCCCCACGAGAGCTCAGCACCGACCGCCTTGCACACCGCTGCTCTTCCCCACGAGAGCTCAGCACCGACCGCCTTTCTGAGGTAGTCACGCGTCACTTAATGCTCACGAAACATTCTGTGAGAAAGGACGTTATGTGATTTGGACGTTGTGCGAACACCATACTACAGGCGGTCCTCAGGTTACAAACGCCCGACTTACGGACAACTCGTACTTAAGAAAGGGCTGCCATAATGCCTATTCCATTAAAAATTTAAGGTAAATACAACGGTTCGTAATAACGAAGCCTACAGTACTTTGTGACGCTCGTGAAAACATTGCGCAGGTTGGAAGTGTTTCTGAAGTGTTTTATATGCATAGAAGGTAAAATACATACTATATACTGAGACAAACATTTAACTAAACCAAACCAAAACCCAAATCCACTGCCGTCGAGTCGATTCCGACTCATGGTGACCCTATAGGACAGAGTAGAACTGTCCCACAAGGTTTCCAAAGAGCTCGTGGTGGAGTCAAACTGCTGACCTTTTGGTCAGCAGCCGAACTCTGAACCACTACACCACCAGGGTTTGCAAACATTTGACTAATTGACGCTAAATAAGAACGATTTGTACCTGTTCCAACTTACAAATTTGACTTAAAGACAGACTTAGGAACGGATGTCATCCGTAACCTGGGGACTGTCTATATACAAGAGACATGAGATACATATCTGAGTGCAGGAATCCGCTGCGTTCGCTACGTCTGGTTGCGTCTGCTACGTCCTGTTCTGCAGTCGGGATTTCTAAACTCTATTATAACCTTATGGGACCACGGACATATATGCAGTTGGAAGTCGCCTGAATGGACGTTATACAGTGCATGACTGTCCTTGTGGGCAAGATGATTGGTGTCTGGGTTTGCTCTCAAAAGCTCCGTGGGAAAGCAGGGAGTGGGGCAGGCGACAGCCAGTGAGGAGTGCATGCGGGCCCGCTGGCTCTTCTATTTTTGTATATATTTGGAAAATTTCTAACTAAAAAGTCAAATGATTAAGACAAGCCCAGACTGGGAGCAAGTCTTTGTAAAACACCTACCTGATAAAGGGTTTGTAACCAAAATACACAAAGAACTCTTAAAACTCAACATTAAGAAAACGAACGCCCCAATTAAAAAGTGGGCAAAAGAGGTGAACAGACACCTCACCGAAGAAGACAGACAGCTGGCAAACAAGCAAGTGAAAAGATGCTCAGCATCACAGGTCATTAGGAAATTGCAAAACAAAACAACAGTGAGATACCACTCCACACCTGTTAACCAAATCACTGACAACATCAAATGCCGGCGAGGATGTGGAGTTGAGCAACAGGAATTCTCGTTCATTGCTGGTGGGAACGCAAAATGGTTCAGCTATTTCAGAAGACGGCTGGGTAGTTTCTTACAAAGAGAAACAGTTTTCTCACATAATCCAGCAACTGTGATCCTAGGTATTTACCCACAGAACTTTACAAGACACAAAGAGTGAACCTTAAGGTAGAGTACGGACTTTAGTTACCAGTTATGTATCTACATTGGGTCATCAGCTGTAACAAACGTACCACTCATGCAAGCTGTTGATAACAGAGGAGAAACAGTGGGGGCAGGGGTGGGGGAGGGAGTATATGGGAACTCGTGGAACTTTCTGCTCAGTTTTTGTAAACCTAAAACTACCCTAAAAAATAACAAGTGCTGGCGAGGATGTGGAGACACTGGAAGCTTCCTGCACTGCTGGTGGGGATATAAAATGGCGCAGCCACTTTGGAAAACAGTTTTGCGGTTCCTCAAAATGCTAAACATAGAGTTACCAAAAGATCCAGCAATTCCACTCGTAGGTATATACCCAATATACCCAAGAGAATTGAAAACATATGTTCATACAGAAGTTTGTAAACAAATTTTCATTAGCAGTATTATTCACAATAGTCAAAACATGGACACAACCCAAACGTGCATCGACTGATGAATGGATAGACAACATGTGGTAAATCCATACGATGCAATACTATTCAGCCACAAAATGCAATAAAATTCTAACACATGCTACAACGTGGCTAAACGTTGAAAACACTGTGCTCGTACAAGAAAAGAAGCCAGACCCAAAAGGCCACATATTGTATGATCCCATTTATATTAACTGTCAAAAAACAGTAACAACAAAAAATCTGTTGTCATCGAGTTGACTCCAACTCATGGTGACCCCATGTGTCCAGAACAGGTAAATCCTTAGAGACAGAAAGTAGACTGGTGATTGCCAAGGTCTGATTGTTGTTGTCAGGTGCTGTCGAGTCGGTTCCGACTCATAGCGACCCTGTGTACGATAGAACAAAACACTGCCCGGTCCTGCACCATCCTCACAGTCGTTATGTTTGAGCCCATTGTTGCAGCCACCGTGTCAATCCATCTCGTTGAGGGTCTTCCTCTTTTTTGCTGACCCTCTACTTTACCAAGCATGATGTCCTTCTCCAGGGACTGATCCCTCCTGATAACATGTCCAAAGTATGTGAGACGAAATGAACTCTCACCATCCTCGCTTCTAAGGAGCATTCGGGCTATAGTTCTTCCAAGACAGATTTGTTCATTCTTCTGGCACCATGCTATATTCAATATTCTTCACCAACACCATAATTCAAAGGCATCAATTCTTCTTCTCTCTTCCTTATTCATTGTCCAGCTTTCACATGCATATGAGGCGATTGAAAACACTATGGCTTGGGTCAGGCACCGTAGTCCTTAAAGTGACATCTTTGCTTTTTAACACTTTAAAGAGGTCCTTTGCAGCAGATGTGCCTAATGCAGTATGTCATTTGATTACTTACTGCCACTTCCATGGGCATTGATTGTGGATTCAAGTAAAATGAAATCCTGGACAACTTCAATAATTTCTCCGTTTATCATGATGTTGCTTATTGGTCCAGTTGTGAGGGGTTTTGTTTTCTTTATGTGGAGGTGTAATCCATACTGAAGGCTGTGGTCTTTGATCTTCATCAGCAAGTGCTTCAAGTCCTCTTCCCTTTCAGCAAGCAAGGTTGTGTCATCTGCGTATGGCAGGTTGTTAATGACTCTTTCTCTAATCCTGATGCCACATTCTTCTTCATATAGTCCAGCTTCTCAGATTATTTGCTCAGCATACAGATTGAATAAGTATGGTGAAAGGATACAACCCTGACGCACACCTTTCCTTAGTTTAAACCACGCAGTATCCTATTGTTCTGTTTGACCAACTGCCTCTGGGTCTAAGTAGAAGTTTCTCGTGAGCATAATTAAGTGTTCTCGAATTCCCATTCTTTGCAACGTTATCAATAATTTGTTAAGATCCACACAGTCAAATGCCTTTTCATAGTCAATAAAACACAGGTAAACATCTTTCCAGTATTCTCTGCTTTCAGCCAAAATCCATCTGACGTCAGCAATGATATCCCTTGTTCCATATCCTCTTCTGAATCCAGCCCGAATTTCTGGCAGTTCTCTGTCAATGTACTGCTGCAACCGCTTTTGAATGATCTTCAGCAAAATTTTACTTGTGTGTGATAGGTGCCAGGAGCTGGGGTTGTGGGGAAATGTTCTGGAACTAAATAGTGGTGATGGCTGCACAGCTCTGTAAATACACTAAAAACCACTGAATCGTACAGGGCTCTTTGTACACTTTAGGATGAGCTTTATGAATATAAATTATATGTCAATAAAGCTAATAAAAAAAAAAAAAGCCCACTCTGCCTGCTGGCAATGTCACAGTATTAACCACAAATCCATGCCATTAGCTCAACTGTTAAATGTATGCCATCTCCCGTAAGTCTAACAGTAATAATAGCTACCACTCATTAAGCACTTGCTGTATGCCAGCGGGAGCCCTGGTGGGGCAGTGGTTGAGCTCTCTGCTGCTAACCAAAAGGTCGGTGGTTAGAACACACCAGCAGCTCCGCGGGAAAGATATGGCAGTTTCTTTCCGAAAAGATTACAGCCTTGGAAACCCTATAGGGACGTTCTCCTCTGTCCTATAGAGTGGCTAGAAGTCAGAATTGACTCAACAGCAATGGGTATGGCAGGTGCTCTTCTATCAGCTCATCTAACCCTGACCACAACCAGGAGGTCAGCATAGTTACTACTGCCTTTTACAGAGGCGGCAACTCAGGGGTCAAACACTTTGCCACGGGTCACAGAGCAAGTGAGAAGCCAGTGACTCCAGCGAGACCCGTGAACCCCACAAATCCTGCCAGCGGCACCCTACGTATGCGTGCATGTTTCCAGGATTAGAAAATCCACCATACTAATGAACAACAGAAGCTTAATTAAAATAAGAGCTGCAGAGCCTAATGAACATAATCAATATCACTGAATTGTACGTGTAAATTGTTAAAATGGCAACAGTTGCTTTATATATTTTTACCACAGTAAAAAAAAAAAAAAATTTTAGGATAGGATGATAAAGCCTATGTTGTAAAGTGTTAACAATTACTTGGTGAATCTCAGTGAAGATTATACGGGAGAATTAAGGATGTGAAGGGAAGCTAGATTAATGGAAATGGAACAACCAGAATGGAAATGAGAATGTTGACACATTGTGGAAAATGTAACCAACGTCACTGAACAATATGTACAGAAATTGTTAAATGGGAATCTAATTTGCTGTATAAACATTCACCAGGAATACAATAAAATATTATAAAAAGGAGGCAAACTTTTAAAAAAAGAATATATGGAAGATTTATGTACTAGTCTTGCAACTTTCTGTAAATTTGAAATTACAGGCCGTCCTCAGATTACGAATTACAGACAACTCATACGTGCCCTTTAAAAAACAAAACCCACTGCTGTGGAGTCATAGCGACCCTACAAGACAGAGTCGACTGCCCCATAGCATTTCCAAGGAGCAGGTGGTAGATTTGAACTGCTGACCTTTTGGTTAGCATCCGAACTCGTATCACTGGGCCACCTGGTATGTAAATCTGCCCTCACTTTGAAACGACTGAACCAACTCCTACTCGAAACAAATTCATCACGATCACCTCCGCTTGCTGCACATGCAGCTTTTAAATCACTGGAAAGGCTTCCAGCCTTTTCTTGCACTAAAGGCTCAGTAAGAAACATATGCAGCTGTTACCACCTTACAAACTTGACTTAAAGTCACAGTTAGGAATGGAATTTGTTCATAACCCGGGGACTGCCTGTATATCAAAATGAAGGTTTTATCAATATTCAAAATAATAATAATAAACTAGAAAACGTGCAGCAAAAATAATGGCAGCTACCATCTACCAAGCCTCAGCCATGTGCTTAAATTTTTTTTTACTGTGGTGAAAACATATGCAGCAAGTTTTGCCAATTTAACAATATACATGTCTAATTCAGTGACGCTGATTACGTTCATTTCTGTGACTTTGATGGATTGGGAAGTGATCAGGCTCTGCCCCGGGAACCCTGTGGCCTGAGCAAGTACCAAGGTCGGCAGGGGACAGTGTGAACATTACATGAGGCCGTACACGATGTGTGTGTGCGTATACATGTGTGTGCAGCCCAGGGTCACAGCACAGCAAGAGTTTGAGAATGGACATGACGGGGATGTCTCTACTGGCCTCACCTCAGAGCGCTTTGAGCCAACTCCACATTAGTCCTAGTAACGCACTTACAAGAAGGGGAGGTTCTAGATCCAATATTCTATACCTCTTGTGGATTGAATTGTGTCCCCCAAAATTATGCGTTGTAAATCCTAACCTCTATGTCTGTGGTTATCATCCCATTTGGGAATGGGCTTCTTTGTTATGTTAATGAGGCAGGATTAGTGGAGGGTATGTTAATCTCTTACAAAAATGTAAAAGGAGCAGATTAAGCAAACCGAGGTGGGGGAAGATAGATGCCACGCTACATGGAGATCTCCAAGGAACCAGGAAACAAGCTGAAGGGACAAGGACCTTCCCCCAGAGCTGACAGAGAAAGCCTTCCCCTAGAGGCTGCACTCTGAATTCAGACTTCCAGTCTCCTCAACTGGGAGAAAATAAATGTCTGCTAAAGCCATCCACTCGTGGTGTTTCTGTTACAGCAGCACCAGCTAACTAAGACAATACCTAACCTCGCTGACTTCTTCAAAGTGGTCGAGGTGGCAGCCCATGAGGAAGGAGGTGGGCGCCATGATGAAGTCCAGCATCTGGCCTGACAGGATGGGCACGAAGGTGTGCTGCCACTGCAGTGGGTGCAGGTAGACCAGGAAGCACTCGGCCACGAGCGTCAGCAGGGCCCAGTCAGAGGAGAAGAATACCATCCGCTGCTCGGTGAGCATGCACGTGAGGACCTGCAGGGGGGGGTGAACACCACCTGAGAACACCTGTCAACACGCCACCCGACAAGACCAGACAGACACACACACGGGTTTCACCTGACAAGACCAGACAGACGTACACGGGTTTCACCTGTAACATGCCACCCGACAAGACCAGACAGACACACACACGGGTTTCACCTGACAAGACCAGACAGACGTACACGGGTTTCACCTGTAACATGTCACCTGACAAGACCAGACAGACACGCACATGTGTTTCACCTGTAACACGCCACCTGACAAGACCAGACACAGACACGCACACGGGTTTCACCTGTAACACGCCACCCAACAAGATCACACAGACACACACGTGGGTTTCACCTGTAACACGCCACCCGACAAGATCAGACAGACATGCACGTGGGTTTCACATGTAAACACACTACCTAACAAGACTAGATGCAGACACGCACATGGGTTTCACATGTAAATACTCTACCTGACAAGAACAGATGCAAACATGCACACGGGTTTCACATGTAAATACACTACCAGACAAGACCAGACAGACATGCACACAGGTTTCACCCTGTCTTTCCTGCTCCATTTGCCAAAACGAAAGCAACTTAAGACTCCGTAGAAAGTGCTACTTGCAAATACTGTGTACTGGACATTGGCATTAAGCAAAGAATAAATATTTCCAGTACACTGGTTCTGTTTTGTGGAATAAACCTGCATTCTGATTGTGTTTTGATACAATATTTTTTTACACCCCATTAAACCAATTGGAGTCCTTGGGTGGTACAGTTAATGCACTAAGCTGCTAACCAAAAGGATGGAGGTTCAAGTCTACCCGGAGGTGCCTCAGAAGAAAGGCCTGGTGATCTACTTTCAAAAAAAAAGCCATTGAAAACCCTATGAAGCACAATTTTAGTCTGACACACATGGGGTCACCATGAGTCAGAATTTACTGACTGCAACTGATACTGGCATTAAGACACTCAGCATAAGACAGTCTCAGACGTAGAAGGTTGCGTACCTGTAACACCGTCTCGGGACTGAAGCACAGTAAGGGCAGGTGAAGGTCCAAGTCAATGATTGGGCTTTCGGGATCCACTCGTGAAGGAAATACAATCTGCAGTGGTTTCATGTTAAATATCTGTGATGACCAATTTTCGTAATCAGTTCAGAAAGCTGCTCCCAGAGGAGGCTGAAAACACACTAAAATCAGGGCTTCAAACCCGTTGGTTCTGGTTCAAACCCTGCTGAGAATCTGCATTTCTAACAAGTTCCCAGGCGATGCTCATGCTGCTGGTTAGGGACCAGTTCCGAGAACCACTAGGAGAGCCATGGTTCTTAAAATTTATTATACATAAGAATCACCTGGGGATCTTGTTAAAATGTAGATTCTGATTTAGTACAGATGGGGTGGAAATGCAAATTCTCAGCAAGAACCGGAACGGATCGGTTCAAAGTCCTGTAAAATTAACTCTTTTGGTGCAGAGAGCATCTGAGGTATAAAACAGTGTTGAAAATTCATGCCCTCACTTTACAACCCACGGCATAATAGAACAATCTAGAGAGGTGCTTTAATCTAACTGCTGGTAGTGGCTTATACATAAAGTACTTGACGTCGGCCAGGAGTAGCTTATATGTACATTAAGTACTTGACATCTGAGTCAGCCTAACTTCTTTAAACTCCTTAACTAACAAGAACATTGCTCACTGGCAGGAGAAAGATAAACTTCAACACAGTTGTCTAAAGTAGCACAAATTCTAAACAAGCATGCTCAAATTACTCTTTTTTTTTTAAATATTTTATTGTGTTTTAGGTGAAAGTTAACATAGTAAATTAGGTTGTCATTGAACAATTTTTATACAAATTGTTTCATGACATTGCTTACAATTTTCACAATGTGTCAACATTGTTATTATTTCCACTGTTTGTTCTGTTTCCATGGATCTAGCTTCCCTGCCCCTCCAGGCCTACTCTGTCAAATTATTCTTAGCTATTACATATTATTCTTTGTTACTATATATTATATATTCTCCTAGTACTTCTAATTTAATTAGTCAAAACTCCTTGAAGACATGTATCTCAAAAAATCTAGAAAAACATTTTCTTTTTCTAAATGATGTTATTTTTAAATAACACTTCAAATTCTATATTCACTGAATGCCCATTATATGTCAAGGGACAGAAGCAGCAAAGATGGGAAGATACAGTTCCCTCCCTGGGTGTGTTCAAGCTAGGCAAGGGGATGGTGCTGTCAGCAGCGCGTCTGCCCTACGTGTCACCCACACAGTGGGTGCTCGAGAAATGCCAGGTACTATAGGACATAAAATGATACTCGTGAGGAGTGTGCCTCTTAGCTCAAGTAGATACATGAGACTAAACGGGCAGCTCCTGTCCTGAGGCGAGATGAGAAGGCAGAGAGGGTCAGGAGCTGGTTGAATGGACACGGGAAATCAGGGGTGGAAAGGAGGAGTGTGCCGTCACAGTATAGGGAGAGCAACTAGGGTCACATAACAAAGTACGTATAGATGCCTGTATGAGAGACTAACTTGAATTGTAAACCTTCACTTAAAGCACAACAATAAAATAAATTCAAAAAAGAAAAGAAATGCCAGGTTCCTCCTGCCCCTGGAAGCTCCATTAAATCCTCAGGATGAAACCATACAAGTGTGAGCAAAGCACGGAGGGGATAAAAAGCAGCGGCCCAATCGGACTGATGGAAAGGCTTTCCCGTGGGGACGCGTGGGCGGTTGAGAGATGTAGAGAAGCAGGGTATTGAGTCGTGAAGGAAGTTCATGGGAACAAAACGCTCACTATTAGTATTTTCTTATGGCAAGTGATTGTCAATAATGATCGAAATGCAGAGAACCAAGATCTAAACGTCCTCGGTTCCGAACGTCCAACTTACATGCAGCCCGTAGTTATGAACCAACCTCTGTAAAGCCTATTATATTAAAAATGCGTGGTACATACAATGGTTCCTGATAACAAACGGGCACTACTTTGCTGTGCGCATCAAAACGTTATTATTACTGTTACTGTGTTATTATGTTAAAGATGTTTCAGTGTATCTCGAAGTGTTTCTTTAATGTTTTTTATGCATAGAAAGGTATGCTATATACCACGGACGAAGACAAACATTTGACTAACTGACGTTAGATATGAATCGTACCTAAGTAATCCAACTTACATACAAATTTGACTTAAAGACAGATTTAGGAATGGAAGTGATTAGTAATCTGGGAACTGCTGGTATCATCTTCCAGATGGGACTATTCCAGTGAAATTGATATTTACTAAACATTTTAAGATATTTAATAGGTATTGTTTAAAAAATAATAATAAACCAGTGGCTAAATTAGTTTGGAAACGCTGAGTCAAACGGACTTCCTCCCAGAGCTTAGCAGAGTCGGCTGTGAGTCAACCAGCGGGAATGCAGCCCACTGTGTCTCCAGCTCTTCCTGCCCCTGCAGCCCTGTGGCATGAAATAGCCAATCACATTCCTCAGAACTGGTCCTCTATGGAACCCACAAGTGCCTGCCTATTAATTAACATGGCGGCACCGTCCCCTCAGAATAATAAAAAATATAAAGCAGTTACTCTTAACGAATCACTTTGTATAGGAGGTGGCACTAGTATAGCAAATCAAATGTTAATTAGATATTAATTTAATACTGGAGCCCTGGTGGTGCAGTGGTTAAGAGCTTGGCTGCTAACCAAAAGGTTGGCAGTTCAAATCTACCAGGTGCTCCTTGGAAACCCTGTGGGGTAGTTTTACCCTGTCCTATAGGGTTGCTATGAGTCAGAGTCAACTCTACGTCAATGGGTTTTTTTTGTTTGTTTGGAGAAATTTAATACTAATTTCATACACATTGAATATCCAGTATTTAAGATAGATAAACAAAAGGGAAATGTGTAATTTAAGTACATTCTTAGACTGCAGGATTGGGATTTCTATGTATTTTCTGCACAGCAAGTAATGAACTCAAGCATTAACTGCCGGCGAGGTGCCCTCGAGAAAAACCCCACTGCCGTCAAGTCAATTCAGACTCACAGCCACCCTACAGGACAGGGCAGAACTGCCCCATAGGGTTTCCAGGGCTGTAAGCTTTAGGGAAGCAGACCCCCATGGAGGAGGGCTATTACACATCACTAATTCCTTACGTGTTTATCATTAGCCGTGCGGCAAAACTCAAACCTAAACGTTTTAGTTTTGACCTTCAGAAACAGTGTAAAAAATGCTTAAGGAATTGAGCGGTATAATTTAAACACAGCTAGAACTTCACAGTTTAAAACGTTTAAGCCATTTTTATAAGATTAATTTTACTATTTGCAAAGAAAAGCAAACACATCATATAATTTAATTTAATTACCAGATGGAGCGGTCCCGGTGGTGGGCTAGGTATTAAAGACAGTTTTGCAGCAAATTCTTTTATATGATCATCAACTTCAAAATCTTTACAGAGCTTCAGGTGGGTCAATAAACTGAAATGAAAAAAATAAATAAAATTACAAAATGAAATCAAACGGTACATTTAAAATGGGTAGGTTTTATTGTATGTAAATTATACCTCAATAAAAAAAAATCATTGCCTCCAAGTCAATTCCGACTCATAGTGACTACATAGGACACCCATAGTGACCCTATAGGACAGAGTAGAACTGCCCCACAGGGTTTCCAAGGAGCGGCTGGTGGATTCAAACTGCCAACTTTTTGGTTAGCAGCGGAAAGCATAAACCCGTTGCTGTCAAGTCAATTCCAACTCACAGTGACCCTCTAGGACACCCATAGTGACCCTATAGGACAGAGTAGAACTGCCCCATAGGGCTGCCAAGGCTGTAAACCTTTACAGAAACAGACTGTCACATTTTTTTTCCCCACGGAGTGGCTAATGGGTTCAAACCAATGACTTTTTGGTCAGCAGCCAAGCACTTAACTACTGCGCCACCAGGGCCCCTTTAGAGTAAAGCACACACGTATATAAAATGGATAAATTCTAGAAATGTTGCCGTCTTCATTGTCACGTGCTGTCGGGTTGATTCCTACTCACAGTGACCCCATGCGACAGAGCAGAGCTGCCCCACAGCGTCTCCTAGGCTGGAATCTTTACAAGAGCAGATCGCCAGGTCTTTCTCCACAGAGCCATCAACCTTTCAGTTAGCAGCTGAGCCCATAACTGTAGCACGAGATGCCACTTCTCTAAAAAGTGCCAAATGTAGGATTCTAATAGACATAAAACTCATTCGTTCACTCGCTTGATTTATTCGTTCACACAACAAATACTGTGGGCCATTTCCTCTGTGGCTGGCCTGGGCCAAAAAGAGGCCGCTGAGCCTTCCGGAGCTGACTGTGAAGGAAACCCAACCCACCTAGGGAGCCACGTGCAGGCAGATGTGGAACTGAGAGGGCACAGCGGGGCCCACCGGGTCAGGACGTCACTCTGCCCCACTCGCCACAGCACAGACCACAACACACCGAGAATTCGACCTGCCAGGATGTTCACTGTAAGGAACAAATAACACCCAGGGGCCAAGGTCGGGACTCGGGGCTAATTCAATATCCCTCCACGTTTGTGCTCCCTGTAAAATACAATAACGTTCAGGTAAAATTTTTAAAAGAAGAAAAAAAAACTACCTTTAATTTAATTCCCCAAATAGAACTAAATATATTCTCTCCCAAATTTTGCCCACATGAAGACGTATCTTACAGGGCAGAAAAACAGATTTTTTTTTAAACATACATTTGTGTTTACAGGCTACATTTCAAAATTTCTGTCATTTGCTCCTCTCTAAGGGCCCCTGGTGGCGCAGGAGTTAAAGTGACTGACTGCTAATCAAAAGGCTGGTTGGTGGTTCAAGACCACCAGCGGCTCTTTGGGAGAAAGATGTGGCAGTCTGCTTCCGTAAAGATTTACAGCCTTGGAAACCCTATGGGGTTGCTATGAATTGGCATCAACTCGACAGCAGTGGGTTTGGTTTTTGGTTTTGGTTAGTGTTTGGCTGCTAACTGAAAGGTCAGCAATTAGAATCCACCAGCTGCTCCAGAGCAGAAAGATGTAGCAGGCTGCTTCTGTAAAGATTACAGCCTAGGAAACCCAATGGGGCAGTTCTACTCTGTCCTACAAGGTCACTATGAGTCGGTATCGACTCGATGCCAACCGGTTTACGGAAACTACATTTTCTAGTTCTGCTCACTTAACAGCGACCATTAGCAAAAGAGTGAAAACCCAAGAGGCATGGAAAATGAAAACATGTATCAAGTTAAACATATCTTTGCACGATGTGCAACAGAAGGATGTTTGCTGCCAATCACTCTGACAGCTCAAGCAGCTCAGTGACTGCATGTATCCAAGGCAGGGAGCTGGAGAAGGAGCTCCCTCTGACTGCCTGCTCGGGGCAGACAGTGCTCAGCCCTTACTCATGCATTGAACAAAGGGTGGGAATAACCACCCCCCACTGACAGACTAGAAAACCAAAGATTAGGTTAAAAAGCTGTTTACTTTCAAGTAACAAAGATTATCAGTTAATGAATAGAAAGGGACCGTGCCTTAATTTATCCTTCTCTCCCTTCCTGAGAGGAGAAAGTTAGCTCTCTGTTCTGCAAAGATCATTCATGCCAATGGGAATAAAATGCAGGTGAGGTATACTTTAAAAACTATACCATTAAGGTGCTATAATTTGAGTTATGCACGTCGTAATTCCAAGAGCGTGGATTCCTGCTCACTCAACTTGTCAATTTGCTCGTCCTGTGATGAAGGGATAAGGTCTTAGTCACTATCCTCCACAGGTGACTCATCACAGACACCAATTCAGGGACTTGTCACTGATCGTTACTCAGTATTATGCCGCAAAGACAGCCTTTGTTAACAGCCTTTTCTCAGCCTTTAATCGAACGTCTACAGATTCTACAAATATAACTTTATTGAATCAAAACTAAACGACAGCAGCTCATATGTACCCGACAGGACCGAATCAGGCTTGCACTCGGGGGAACAGCCTTGATATGTCAGGATAACACCCTTTAATAAATAATAGGAATTGGCCAGGGCCTATGCAATACTTCCCTGATTTTTAAAAATCCCTCAACATCCTCAGACTTTCTACTCAATGTCAGCAGTAACACAAAGATTCTACCCAAAAAGCTAATTTTTAAAATGTAAGTAAAACTCCTCAAAATGGTCATGGCATCCTCCTGATTTTTTCAGATAGCCAGAAAAAGAGCTTTCTTCCTGATATATATACCAAAAAAAACAGAGCAAAAATGGAATCCTCCCTATTAATTTTATTCCCAATGGTTTGGCTTTATTTTCCCTTTTTCATCTTATCATTTCTACATATTACCATTTACAGACAATCTGGGTTTTCAGAAAAAGCTCCAACTGCCAACTCCGAATCCTACCAGCTGATCGCGGACGTTACGTTACAGCCTGTGCTCAGGAGAGCCTCAGCTCGCTGGCTTACCAGGAGAGGCAGTCTTTGAGGGCGTTGTAATACGGGTACCGGGAGATGACACACACCGCAAAGGGCACGAAGCAGCCGGCCATGCTCACGGTCTGCAGGGATGACTCCCAGTGCGCTTTGCCATTGTAGAAGCAGTACTCATCCTAGACGAGAAACAACAGCAGCATTATCACCTCCTGCTCCTGGCCACACTCAGGATCCATGGTCAACAGTGTCAGCACCGTGATACCAATCAAGACTGCAGAAGCTGGAGGAGGTCCTTTGTCTCCGCACGCCGGTCCTGCTCCTCACTCCCCTCTTGCTCTGCTGCCAGGGAAAGCAAGGACCAGCCCTTCAACAGTGTCTGTGGGATCCAGACTTGGACCTTGCCCCATAGGAGGCGCCAAGATTGCAAAGATGATAAGACGCTCCCCAATCTCAAGAAGGCAGCCTTGGGGTAAGAAATGCACATTATCAGAAAACAGAAGAGAATAAGAGCTGGTGAGGATGTGGATACATCGGAACCCTCATTCTTTGCTGGTGGGACTGTAAAACAGTGCAGCCACGGTGGAAAACGGTGTGGCGGGTTCCCCAGTTAGTTAAGCAAAGAATCGTCACATGATCAGCAATTCCACTCCTAGGAATATACTCAAAAGCAATGAAAGCAGGGATGCAAACGGACACAGGTACACTCACGTTCACTGGAGCACTACTCGCAATAGTCAGAAGATAGAAGTAATCCACATGTCCATCAACGGAAGAACAGATAAACAAAATGTGGTACATACATACCATGGACTGCGATCCAGCCAGAAAGAAAATGAAGTTCTGATACCTGCTACAACATGGATGAACTTTGAAAACATTTCGCTGAGTGAAAGAAGCCAGATACAACAGGTCGCATATTATCAGGTTCCATTTACAGGAAATGTCCAGAGTAGACAGATGCAGAGACAGGAAGCAGATCAGTGGCTACCAGGGGAAAGGGAAGTGATTGCTTAAGGGGCGCTGAGTTTCTGTTCGGAGTGATAAAAAGATCCGGAAAGAGTGGGGATGGCTGCCCAACACGGTGAATGTAATTAATGTCACTGAATTGTGCACTTGAAAATGGTTGACATGGCAAACGTTATACGTACTTCATCACAACAAAATCATATTTTAAGAAGTTGATGAGTCTAAATTAGACATTAAAAGTCTTAAGAATAAAGAGGAAACATGCACCATAAGAACACAGGAAGACCCAAAATGGAAAGGATGGGAGTCTGCTTAATAATAAAAAAACTGCAGTGGCCACTCAATCAAAGATTCTATACAAGAATCCAGATTAAAAGGGGGGAAAATGCAGAACAGGATTTCAAATTCGCCTGGACTCCAGACATTCTGGAGCTATGGAGGCTGGATGAACCCCTGACTGTTGCCCTGAGATTATCTTTAAACCTTAAACCAAAAATATCCCCTGAAGTCCTCTTAAAACCAAATAGTTTAGCTTAATTAGTAAAGAATGTCTGCCTTGAGCATTGTGCTCTTTTAAGATCTGTCTATATGGGATCAAACTGACAACAGCAACTTGAAAGGTTAGATAGGAACCTTAGGAGGCAGTGAGTTTATGTTGATGGGGGAGGAACAACTCAGAAAAGGAGGGTGAGGATGGTTGTACAAGTTGAAGAATGTGATCAGTGTCACTGACTTGTACACGGAGAAACTGTTGGATTGTTGTAAAAGTGGCACGGCAGGGGCGTCTGACCTCCTCTAACTTCACAAGGGGGAAGGAGAATCAAGATCAACAGCCCAAGGTTGATTGCTTTGAGGTGGAGATCAGGCACGCCTCCACCTTCCAACCTTTTTACCAATTCTGACACCAACCATCCCTCCCAAAGCAGTCTCTACTTCTCTGCCAGCCTCGATAATTTATTGCAATAGCCACAGAGAACTCACAGACAATACTCACGATTATGGGGTTTATTAGGGAAGTAACAGGTTACAATTCAGGTTCAGAAATGCTCAGGATACACTTCTTCCCTCAGGACAGCCTCTTCTCAGCCGTGCCCGCAGGCACACCTCTCTCTGGCCCCTCGGCCTCTGCCCTGCTCAGGCAAGCGTTACAAAGCTCTTTTAGCTCTGCCAATAAGTGCCCTGAGGCACCCCACTCCACTAGTAAGCCTCAGCCCAAAAGTGGTCAGCTCTAACTCTGTGGGTCAGTAAACCTAGCTCCACCAAGTGCCCGGGGGCACCCTACTCCTCCAGCAAGGCTCCTGCCCAAAGGCGCTCAGCTTTCTTGCTCTGTGGGCCTGGAAGCCTACCGCACCATCTCCTGCCGGTCTCCCGCGTTGTCCTGCTGCCATTTCTCTGCGACCGCTTCTCACCGTCTTCAGTGTTATAGCTCTGTCTCTCGGTCTCCTGATTCCAAGAGCTTCTCAGTGCAGGGATCCTGGGTCCAAAGACACACTCCACTCCCGGCTCTTCTTTCCTGGTGGTGTTGAGATCCTCCCTTCCCGCCTCTGGGATGGCTCATTTTAAGCCTAGCAGGATGGAAAAACTGACCAATCCCCTTGTATGGTTCCATACACCTTATTTACATGGTCCCACCCCCACAAGGGTGCCATGCACCTTATTTACATTATTAGCAAGCCATCCAATCCCCTTCGTGGGCCGCAAGCACCTCATTTGCACAATCTTCACTCAGTCATTTGGTGAAAAGTCACAAAGGCTAGAAGGGCCATAGTAAGTAATTCACTGTACAGCAAGTGGTTTATGTTCTGCTGTGTATATTCTCAAAAGCAAAAAATAAATAAAATTATCTGAAAAACAGAAAAGCAACCTTGAACTGAAACTAAGCCCTGAGATCACCTTATACGTAAATAACAAATGATTTCAAAAACTAATGAACATCACCCGTAAGCACTGTGCTCCTTTAAAAAAATCACCTATGTGAGACCAAATGGTCAACAATGACTTGCAAACAAAGATAACAATGTAAGCGGGCAGACGAGACTAAAGAAAGCATAACAACCAGAAGAGAAATAATGAGAACGTTCACGCATTGTGAAGAATGTAACCAATGTCACTGAACAACTTGTGTAGAAATTGTTGACTGAGAACATAAACTGTGTAAACCTTCAATAAAAATGCATAAAATATTTAAAAAAAAAAGAAAGAAAGAAAAGCAGTGGCCCACAGGGGAAGCAGCTGTCACGTGCCTGCAGCCAGGCAGGCATCACAGACCTAGGGGAGCCGGGGGCCTTGGCTGTGAGCAGAGCAGGGGTAACAGTACAGCAGAGGGGTTCGAGAAGGCACAGCTCACCGCACAACTCACAAGACGCACAGTATTTGGGGCCTACAGTCTGGGCCCTAGGGGTGGGCTATATTTTCGGGGGAAGAAGGGCATGGTAATGGCTTCGGTTTGGAACTTGTTGAATTTGAGATACTTATTAATCGCTCGGCTGCTAACCAAAAGGTCGGCAGTGAGAGCCCACCAGCTACTCCATGGGAGAAAGATGTGGCAGTCTGCTCCCATAAAGATCACAGCCTTGGAAACCCTATGGGGCAGTTCTGCTCTGTCCTATAGGGACACTATGAGTTAGAATCAACTTGATGGCAACAGGTTTGGGTTTTTTTTTGGTTATAAGACATCCAGGAAAGGGACAAGCCCAGGAAATGGCCAGGAGCTCGACTGGAAGAACTGACACATCAAAGTTCCACAGTTGATAGTTGGAGATGTTCATCCACTGCTCTAGATTCTGTCTGCTCAAGTTCGAATCCTGGTCGCTGTGTGACCTTGGGCAAGTTGCTTACTCTCTCTGTGCCATAGGCTGCCCATCTGTAGAATGGGGTGACGTTCACAGCACCCACCTCCTCTGCTGTAAGGATTCAGTGAACTTCTATGCACAGCACTTGGGAGCCTGCCTGGAGCTTAGCTGCTCAGACATGTTAGGTGTTGCTGCTGTTATTTTTGTTACTGCTACAATTCCTGGCACTCTGGAAGGAGCAAGAATACCACACCGTTCCTACCCCCAAGCCGGAGAGTCTAGTAGGAAGACAGACCAGAGCCTGGGGCAGATGTGGCATCACCAGGACACAAGGCAGAGGAGGTGGGGAGTAGGTGCTGTGAGGGCTGGGGAGCACCCCAAAACTAAGCAGCAGTTGGAAGGACTGGAGAGGGGACCACGCACACTGGACAGGCATGCTTCGTGGGAACAGTCATGTCTGCTGTACACAATGCAAAATAGGGGGATGTTACTTTAAAAAAAGTTCAATAATGATAATAAAAATGTGCGCATTTCATCCTACAACATCTATCTCACAAACTCCCAAAGGCTTTTCTAAGCAATCCATCATTTGAGGCCCGCATGTCCGGAAGCACTGAATAGAGGTGGGGCAGGAACTCGGCTCCTACAATCAACACCGTTACCACGCCCTCCACACTGTCTTAGCCCCCATCACGGAAGGACGATTATAACCCCTTGCATGCACAGCGGTGACGCCTGCCCTCTGCGCTGTACTCTCAGCACACCTTGGAAGACAACCTACCCCAGACACAGGAAGTCCTGCATTTACGTACAAAGCAGCAGGCTTTTCTCTTGCCTGCTCATCGCGGACGTTTGAGCCTGTCTGTGCTGCTCATTGGTAAGAGGTCGGCTGCTAACTGAAAGGTCGGCAGTTTGAACCCACCAGCCACTCCCTGGAAACCCTACAGGGCAGTTCTACTCTGTCCTATAGGGTCGCCATGAGTTGGAATCGACTCGATGGCAAAGGGTTTGGTTTTTTGGTGCCTGAGCACACAGAGGCAGAATCCATCTGATGATATCTACGCCTCCCGTCTTAGATGTCTCGTGCTTCTATAAAAGAAATACCACAAGAGGGTGGCCTCAACAAGCAGAGACTAACGTTCTCACAGTTGAGGAGGCTAGAAGTCCCAGTGCAGGGCTCCGGCTCTCAGGGAAGCTCTGTCTGTCGGCTCTGCGGGGAGAATCCTTGTCTCAGCTTCTTCTCGGTGTTCCTCGACCATCTCCAAGTGGCATCTATCTTTCTCTCATTCATGCTTCTTGCGTCTGTACCGAAACTGCTCCTTTTATATCTCAAAGGTGACAGGTTTAAGACGCACCGGGGGGGACTTGGTGGTACAGTGGTTAAGCATTCACCTGCTAACCAAAAGGTCAGCAGTTCAAATCCACCAGCCACTCCTTGGTAAACCTTGTGCTGACCGTTTAATGAGAAACTATTTGTTCTGTAAACCTTCACCTGAAGTACAATTTAAAAAAGAGACAGAGAAAAAAGACACACTCCACACTGATACAGCCTCATTAGCGTAACAAAGAATCCTAGTCCTGGACGGGACTATATCCACAAGCATTCTGGTGTTGTCTCTTAGGTGCCCTCGGGGCATAGTGGCCCCACTTGACAGAGCAGAACTGTCTCAGAGAGTTTTCTAGGCTGTAATCTGGGAGCAGATCGCCAGGTCTTTCTCCCGCAAAGCCACTGGGTGAGTTCAAACTGCCAACCTTTCGGTTAGCAGCCGTGCACTTAACTGTTGCACCACCAGGGCTCCTTATCCACATGTATAGGAGTTAGGATTTATAACATATTTTGGGAGGACAAAATTCAATCCCTAACACCTCCCAACACTTAAAGTAATACACACAAGCATAATTCTACCAAAACAAAAAGTCTCTTCATTCCTAGAGGGCAGAGTGGAGAAAACATTCTGTGGCTCCTCTTCCTTGGCTAGGGCACAGACCTCACTAACCTCCCCCGGACGGCACAGACCTCACTAACCTCCCCTGGTGACACACCCTCAAGGCCTGCCCTTTGCCTCTGCAAATCGGGTGGAGTCTTCTAACTGATCACTCTGTGCCCTCAGGGACATCGTCTCCCCACAAGCTCAAGGCCGGCTGATTCACACTGAGGCCTCACCCCGAAAACACTCCCACGTGCACTTAAGACCTAAAACCAAGCACTCTTCCCAAGAGCCCAAAGTGGGAACAACCCAAGTGTCCATCAGCGATGAACGGACGAACACGTGGTCAGTCGACCGACGGAGCGGCGCTCAGTCTGACACACGCCGGGACACGGCAGAGCCTGGAAACAGGACACTGGGTGAGGGACGGCAGACATGGAGCCCCACACGTCGTACGATTCCATTTCTATGAAATGCCCAGAATGGGCAAGTCCAGAGAGACAGAAAGCAGGCTGGTGGGTGACGGGGCTGGGGGCAGGAAGGAGTGGGCAGTGACTGGGAACAGACATGGGTCTCCTTCTCTAGGTAGTGGTGATGGCTGCACAGCACTGTGAACGCAATCAACGGCCCTAAAGTGTACACCTGGAAATTAGTGAAATGATGGATTTTATGGTACGTGTACTTCACCACTATAAAAACCTGGCCCCGATCTCAAGGGGAAGCGGGCGAGCACTTACGTGCAGTGGTCGGTAGTACTGGGCGACCACACCGTACGTCCTGTTTCCACAGACGTCCGTCAGGACCAGAAAGTGGACACGGTCCTCCTCTGGCTCCGAGGCCACACACACGCCTCCTGGAGACAGAAGAGAAGAAAGATGACATCTCGTTAGGGCCCCCAGCACCCGCCGTCAGGCCCCAGCTATCTATGAGCCACCTTCCCTCAATGCACAAAACAAGTGCATCTCCAACTCGGGACTTTGACGCCCAGGATGCGCCGGTTCTTCCGACCGTGCTCCCGTGAAGCAACTTCTCTGGAGCCCCTCACCCTGAAGGATTTGGTGGATGAACACGTGGACAGCAGGGATACTTCAGATGAGGAGATGAACTCTCCCGGGTCAGCTGGTGGTGAGGGCTGGCTTTCTTGTGCAGAGCAGGGAAAGAGGGTGGTTCAGGTGACTCCACACCTATCCCCAATTTATAATCACGGTGACCAGGGCCAGCACCGAGACAGGCACCTCTGTCAAGTCCTTAGTCCGAGTTTTCTACATCAGCCATTGTAACATTTTCAGGACTGGGGGAAATGCAGCCTGAAACGCCAAGCTCGCTGTTAACTGGAGCTGGCCTGCGTGCAGAACGAACATGGGCCATGCTTCCCATCCCCATGGAATGGAAGGTCGGAGGAGGTGGGAAATGGGCACCCCAGGCCAGAGCAAACTCTGGGGACAGAACCACTAGATATAACTAGACATTTTCTTTTTTTAATATATTTTTTTATTGTACGTTAGATGAAGGTTTACAGAGCAAATTAGTTTCTCGTTAAACAATCAATATCCATTTTGTTTTGTGACATTAGTTGCCAACCCCACGACATGTCAACACTCTCCCTTTCTCAACCTTGGGTTCCCCATGACCAGCTTTCCTGTCCCCTCTTGCCTTCTCATTCTTGCCCCTGGGCTGATGTGCCCATTTAGTCTTGTTTTGTTTTATGGGTCTGTCTAATCTTTGGCTGAAGGGTGAACCTCAGGAATGACTTCAGTGCTGAGCTACAAGGGTGTCCAGAGCCATACTCTCAGGGTTTCTCCAGTCTCTGTCAGACCAGGTAACTCGACATATTTTAAACACATTTGCCAAGCCTCCGTCTGTCAGTGGAGGCTTGTATGTTGCTGTGATGCTAACCAGGTTTCTTGGAGCTTCCAGACTAAGAAGGACTGGGGAAGAAAGGCCTGGTGATCTATTTCCCAGAATCAACCAGTGAAAACCCGGTGGCCTCCTAATCACCCTAATAAATACCACCATCCTTTATTGAGCAAACTCTAACAAAAACACAAACAAAAAAACAAACAAAACCCTATGCCTCGCAGCAGTCCAGTCCACAACTCGTCATGGGGTGGTGCAGGACCCGCGTTTTGTTGTGTTGTGCCCGGGGTCACCATGAGTCAGGGGCCAACTCGTGGCAGCTAACAGCAGCCAAGCCTCTTTAAGACTTTATTTTACACACAGTCTGCTACCTGGGGGTCCCTGCAACCTCTCTCCTAAGACTGCCCCCAAAAAAACTTAAAAAAAAAACAACCTGTTGCTATCAAGTCAGTCCCGACTCATAGTGACCCTAGAGGAGGACAGAGAACTGCCTCTTAGGGTTTCCAAGGAGTGGCTAGTGGATTTGAACTGCTGACCTTTTGGTTAGCAGCCGAGCTCTTTAACCACCACGCCACCAGGGCTCCCCCTAGGACCCGGTTTCCCTTACAATGAGGACTCCAGTAATGAATTTAAACTTCCTTTTAGCTTTGAAATTGCAAGATTAAAAAAAAAAACAAATAAATCCCATGATACATCGTAAGGGGCCCCAAGGGGTCATCGGCTCAGCCCTCAGTCCCACTTTCTTCCACGTGTTTGTCTCTAGAAACAGGTTGTTCTGGGTGGATAGCAAACACAGGCCCCCACCCATACGGTCCACCGAGTAACGGTACCTGGGAAGCAGAGCTGGGGCAGGGCCAGCAGGTCCACGTCATTGGGGATGCTAACATCCTCAGGGTCCCCTGCGACGCCCTTCCAGTGCTCCGGTCTGGGTTTCTCCCTCTTCTTCCTGAACGAGCGTCGTCTGGACTTACATGGAGCAGTGCAGTCAGCAGTGGCTGCTCGACTCTCATCCTTACTGACAAACGGAGGCACGAAAACCGACAGGACCTCTGGGTCGACAGAAGGATTTCTGACTCCTTTCTTCTGGGCAACCTAACGAAGGCAGACATCAGTCCATGCAGCGGTGTCACACTGCACGTCCGTTTCCTTTATCGCCCTCCACGCCCGCAAACACCAGCCGGTCTGTATTCCCTCCCAGGGCGCCGGCCGTGCATGGCTCCTCCTGCCATGCCCATAAGGACCATGCTATGGGGTGCATTGCATCCCCCAGAAAATACATAGAAGTTCCAACCCCAGTATCTGTCAATGTGACCCTGTTTGGAAACAGGGCCTTTGAAGATGTTATCAGTAACATGAGGTCCTCCTTCCACCTGAGTGGCATTCTACAAAGGTGGAGAAGGGACACGGAGACAGGGAGACAGAGGAAGGACGCCGTGAGACACTGCAGCTGCCAGTCAAGGAACGCCTGGAGCTGCCAGAAGCTAAGAGAGAGGCCGGGGTGGAGACGCGTCTCCCTCAGAGCCCCAGAAGGAACCAACATGGCTGACACCCTGGTCTCAGACTCCCAGCCCCCAGAACTGGGAGATGGTACACTTCTGCTCATATGAGCCCCCAGTGTGGGGGACTGTGTTACTACAGACCACCTCAGAAGGTTGCTTTGGGAGCTTCTCAGGCACCAAGTCCACGTGAGTCACGTAACCTCTCAGAGCCTGTCTCCCCAGCTGTATAACACAGACTGGGACAACTCACACCCCGAGGCACAAAGCACAGTGGTTCAGAGCATGGGTGCTGTGCGCAAGAGACCCGAGTTCAAATCCCACTCTGTCTCAAACGATGGGCAGCAAGTTACTTGATCCCTCTGAGCTTCCCTTCCCAAGTGTTGGTGCCGTAGGTCAAGGGCCCAGCCCGTCCAGCTCCCAGGAAGCCCCCAAAGCACTCTTGTGGCTTGCTCTCTCACAGGGTGGGTGGAGGGTAGAGCTGAAGGGTGACATACTGTCACACCCTATACAAAAACATCAACCAACATCATTTCCTCCAGCCAGCTGGCCCATTAAACCAAAGCAAAACCAGATGCCATCAAGTCAACTCCCATTCATGGCGATCCCATGTGTGCAGAGTAGAACTGCTCCATAGTATCTTCAATGGCTGTGACCTTTCAGAAGCAGATCACCAGGACTTACTTCCAAGGCACCTCTGGGTGGGTTCAAACCACCAACCTTTAGGTTAGTAGTTTAGCTCTTAACCGTTTGCACTCCCCGGGACTCCTGCTGGTCCGTGACCCCCATCCATTCCCAGTCAACCTTTCTCGGTTGACCGCATGGCACCTTTGGTGTCCGAAGAGGCCCACTTAGCCTGGACTCTTTTGCACTTCAACTTTGTACAAGTTTTTTGGTTTTTTTCACCTTTTATCTTTTTGTTCTCCCCAAATAACGTAAAGAAGACAAGCTCGATCTCTTTTCTAACTCCAGTGCCTAACGAGCTGCTGCTCTACAGTTAGTGCTAGACGAGAGTTGCTGCCAGGCTGACTCCAGGTCTCTCGAGGAAGGGCTACGGAATGCAGTCTGACAGAAGGCGTTGGTGCAGGTGCTAAGCTGGCTAAAAATAGAAAACCCCAAAGCAGGATTCTCTCCATCTAAAAGATATGGGATTTCACTAATAGCAGGTACTCAGAATAGGCAGATCCACAGAGACAGAAAGGAGACTGGAGGTTATCAGGGGCTGGGGAAGGGGGTGTTACTGTTAATTGCTGTCCAGTTGACTCTGAGTCACAGCGACCCCACGTGTGCGGAGTAGAACTGCTCCACGGGGTTTTCAAGGCTGTGACCTTCCGGAAGCGCATTGCCAGGCCTGTCTTCTTAGGTGTCTCAGGTGGGTGTGAGCTGCCGACCTTTCCATTAGTAGCCCAGGGAGTAACCGTCTGTGCCAGCCAGTAGGGAGTTATCATTTAATGGGTATGGAGTTTCTGTCTGGGATGATAAAAAAGATCTGGAACTAGAGAGCAGTGATTATATAGCATTGTGAATGTACTTAATGCCACTGAATTGTACGCTCAGAAATGTTTAAAATGGCAAATTTTATGAAATGTGTATCTTACCATGTCATGGATTAAATTGTGTTCCCCAAAAATATGTGTCAACTTGGCTAGGCCATGATTCCCAGTACTGTGTGGTTGTCCTCCATTTTGTGATCTGATGTAATTTTCCTATGTCTTATAAATTCTAATCTCTGCCTGCGGTTAATGAGGCAAGATTGGGCTATGTTAAAGAGAATTAGGGTGGGATGCAACACCCCTACTCAGGTCACAGCCCTGATCTAATGATGTAAGGGGTATGGCCTGGGGTATGGCCTGCATTGCCTTTTATCTCACAAGAGATAAAAGGAGAGAGACCTCACATCACAAGAAAGAAGTGCTGGGAATGGAGTGTGTCCTTTGGGCCCAAGGCCCCTGCGCTGAGAAGCTCCTAGACCCAGGGGAAGATTGATGACAAGGACCTTCTCCCAGAGCCGACAGAGAAAGCTTTCCCCTGGAGCTGGTGCCCTGAATTCGGACTTCTAGCCTACCAGACTATGAGAGAATAAATTTCTGTTTGTTAAAGCCACCCACTCATGGTATTTCTGTTACAGCAGCACTAGGTGACTGAGACACACAGAGACTGAGAACTGCGTCACTACTCTATGCAATCATCTCTCGATGCAAATCCCAGCCTGAGGAGCTAATGAGTTAGCGCCATGCAACATGCCAGATGGCTGCTCAGTCCCTTTTCCTGAAACTTCCCTGGGCTTCTGAGCCCAGCTTGCCTTCTGCTCTTTAGCCTTGTCCTGACTGCTCCCTCTCCAGTCCTCTGCAGTCCTGTCTTCTCATCCCCCTCTTACAGGCTGTGACTCCCATGGCTGAGCCCTTGGTCCTTCTTGTTAGCTGCCGAGTCAGCTCCAACTCATGGTGAACTTATGTACAACAGAATGAAATGCTGCCCCAACAACCAACAACGGGGACTCCCGACAGCCAAGGAATGGAGGGAGATGTAAGTAACTCAGTAACTCACATGGGGAGTGAACCGTGTATTCATGTCCTAGGGTCGCTGTTCAAAGTACCACCAAGTGGGTGGCTTTGAGCCACAAAAATGTACTGTCTCGTAGGTCCGGAAGCCAGAACCCTGGATTCAGAGTGTCGGCAGGGCCATGTTCTCTCAGTCCTAAGGAAACATCTTTCCTCGTCTCTTCCAGCTGCTGGCGGCCCAGGCGTTCCTTGACTTAGAGATGCATCTTCCCACAGCTGCCTTCCCTCTGTCCCTCTCGGTTTCTTCTCCTCTCTACAAGGACATCACTTATATATGACAGGAAACCCTGGTGGCATAGTGGTTAAGGGCTCGGCTGCTAACCAAAAGGTGAGCAGTTCGATCCAGGCGCTCCTTGGAAACCCTATGGGGCAGTTCTACTCTGACCTATACGGTCGCTATGAGTTGGAATCAACTCGCCGGCAACGGGTTTGGTTTGGTTTTTATATAGGATTAGGACCCACCCTACTCCAGCATGGCCTCACATGGACTTCAACCGATCATGTCTTCAAAGACCCTATTTCCAAACAAGGTCATGTTCACAAGTACCAGGGTTAGGATTTCACTATATCTTCTTGGGGGACACGATTCAATTCATAAAAAACTGTATTCCGGGATTCTTTCTCAACAAAATAAACACTATCCCCATCCAAGAAATAAAACAAAAAGCTAGGACACTATGCTGTCTTCACTTTAAGTCAGACATTTCTCATCCCTTTGACCTTCTGTCTCCCTATGCCGCCAAGTGCCTGAACCACAGGAGAATCGTGATTTTTTAAAAGTATAATTAAAAAGTAATTTTAAAAGTCTTATAAATTCACTTAGAAAGGTTATAAAAAATAAAACAAAATAAATAAAATCGTCTGGTTAATTATAACATTAATGTTGACCTTGAAAGGGGGAACATGTCCGGGACGTATCTATCCATCTGGTAACACTTTTTTTTCCTACTCCTTTTTCTCTCCAAAACTCCTTGTCCTTTGCCAAACCCCGAACACACCAGAGGAGAGAATAAAGACGACCAAAGTTAAAATGCAGATCAGCAAACTGCCAGCTCATCTGACCTCAGGAAGCATCTGGGCCTGTTTTAGCCCAGGAACGAGCCACTGTAAATATTCCAGTTCATTCAGCCTGCTCTCAAAGACATGTCTCACAGAGAAGTCACTAATCCACATGTTGTAATCACCCAAGCAGCAAAGACAGCAAACTTCTGAAAAGCCAGTAAGTGAAACGAGGTCATTTCCTATTCTAAAAAAAAAAAAAAGGAGGCAGTGCCTTTTGGCAAATAGAGGCAGGGAGAAGACTGAGGTCAACCAAGGAGGGGACAGAGGATTTGGATTCAAAAGGGCACACTGAGATCAGCGGGGAGCTGGCAGCAGGAAAGGGGCAAAGCAGAAACCGTTCCCATACAAAGCAATGCTGTTCCCTGAAGGCCCAATCGGCTGTGCTCTGTGTCATTAACCAGACACTCATTCAGTTAATTCTAGTAACATTTCACTTTTCTTGGCCAGGACATTCAGCCCTGCAGCTTCTTTCCCTGGATAGCCAGGCAGCATCTCAATACTCAGATGCCTTCTCCCTCTTCAATGCTGCCATCTGGGAAGAGACTCCAGGGTTATGGAGGGAGACTCTGAACACACTGGGCATGACTCACCGACTAGAGAAAAGGACGCGGACATGGCTTCCCGGGCCACAGGTGAAGTCAAGGAGTGGCCAAGAGGCTCCTGAATTAGGGAACCGTGAGAACACGGGACAAAACCAGGAGAGTGAGAATTTCCAAGAACTGCTGCTGCTTTTCCGGGAAAGCACGTGGGCTTGTCACTTTAATGGCTAAAGCGCAGAAATGAAGAAAAGGAGGAAAAGTGAGACAAACAGCCTGCGTAGCTGCGAAGGACCAAACGCAAATGTAAAGCTGCCCTTAAAGCTGACACTTACAATCTCGGCTCGCTCTTAGCTCCAGCACCTGGTACAACACCCCGATTTTCTGTGGTGAATGGAATCATTTAAAGGGCAAATCGGCAAAGATTTGGTCCTCACGACTGTAATTCAGGAGCTTCCATCTGCCCCCTCGTTTGCTCGCCCCCCGGTCTCCAGCACCTGGCCCAAGCTGGGGGCATCGTGCACAAACAGGAGGCCTCAGAGGCCAAAGGACTTAGAAAAACGCTCGGCCCAGGTGAGCGCTTTTCATCACTACGTCACTCACCCGCTGGTCCCAGCGCGTCCTGCCGCCTCCCAACCCGGCTCCCAACACTGCTCCCCCGAAGGCGGCAGGCGGCGTCCCCACCCCGCAGGCCCTCGCCAGTCCCCATTCCCGTTACTGTCCTCGGCACCCGCAGGCGTGGGGCGACTGGACCCGCCCTGACCTCCGCGCGCACGGTCACCGCGGGGAGAGGGACCTGGGTCCCAGCTGGCAGGGGCTGTGAGCACCTGGAGCGGCGCACGGGCTGTGGGGCCTGGCAGGGGTGCCGGGGGACAGGGGAGAGGCCTGAGAGCCCCTCTCTCGGGCACTGGGCACCCGGCGGAGCAGCAGTGGGGACACCGCTGTCAGGCCGCCCGGCTCCCCGACCCCGCCAACCCCCGACCCGGCGGGCTCCACTGGATGAGAGGCCCCAGCCCCAAGAGGCGCAGCTGCTCGGGCGCCGCGCCGGCGGGCGGCCCTGCCTCAGTTTCCCCGGGCCCAGGGCCTCCCGTCGGCGGCGGCCTTACCTGCTCCGCGCCGCGGAGACTGTCCCGGGAGGCCCCCAGCAGCGCGCACAGCTCCAGCAGCCTGGAGGGCAGCGACAGGTGCCGCGGCGCGGGCTCCTCCATGCTGCCCTGCGGCCCCGCTCAGCGCCGGCTCGGACCCC